AAATAAATTCTCATTTTTCAAATGATGAATCAGGCAAATACCAACAAACACAAATATTCCAAAACACCAAAAACAGAAAAAGAGGACTGCATATGAAATCACCAACCTCTACTATGTACAGCTGTGGTTTTTTAAAAAGTATTTATTTAATTTACAATAGTAGGGCCAGCATGGCCCTGTTTGTTGACTTCCTTCTGCCCCCTTCTGGACCATTTTTCTTAAATGTTTCATCGACATTCATTTCTTTCTGCTCAGTTCAAAATTAAACTACTAGCACTTGTGAAATAAACTTTTAGGAGGGAAAAAGTACACAGCAGAGTGACAAAATTCCTTGTCATTTTGTGGTAAGGTTAATTAAAGCAAATTTAGAACCAAATAACAGCTGACATTTCTGTAATGTTTAAGGTTTACAAGGCTGTTTATCTATATTAGCTCATTTGATCCTTACAACATTGGGGGGGGGGAATAAATTCTTTTGTTATCGCTACTTTACAGAGGGGCAAAACTGAGGCTTAAAGATTTGAAGTGACTTGCTGTGGGTCAGGAAGTCAGTAAATCTGAGGCAGGATTCAAACATGGATCTGATTCTATCCCTGCCTCTTACTACCCATCAGCATGTCACTTCAAAGTCTCTCTGGGTCTTAATTTCCTGCTCTGTACATGGAGGAGGGGATGTGGCTAGATTGGCCCTAAGGTCCCTTTCTGTGCTAAATCTTTGAACGTTTAAGGATAATGAGGCAGGATTCCAACCAAGGCCTTGCTGTTTCATCCCTCTCACCATTGTACAACACTGCCCTGACTAGCTCCTGTAGCTTCATCTTACCTGGACTATTGTAACAGCTTCCTGGTTGGGGAATCCTAGGAGTCTCCAGAAATCTCAAAATGGGTGGCACACAAGACATCTTGAACACATGGAATGCAGCCTCATTGCCTCAAGCCCTGGGGAAAGCAGCCTCCAAACTGACCTCCTTGTCCCAAATTTCAACCCTTCAACCCTATCCTACCAGGTTGACCTTTCAAAGGAAAAAAAAAATAGCTCTTCCACCATTCCATTATTCCTTCGCCCAACAATCTACCGCAAATCCCCACTGCCCACTGGAGCAAGCTGACCTGTAAGCTCTTGCATTATCTGTTCCCTACCTCCTTAGCCAACGTAACTTCTGCCGGCACCCAGCACACACCTTCCAGGGAAGGCAGCTCTTCTCTTTCTTTCTGGATGAGCACCAGACCTTTTGTCCGCTGGCCCCATGCAGTAGTACTAGAGATGAGTGGTTCGTAACTTGTCATTGAATGCAATGTCTCCTCTTTCTAACCCATCTGTCACAAAGCTTCCCAAATTATCTTTCTTAGGGCCAAGTCTGACTCCTGCTCAGAAACCTTCTAGGGTGCCCTATGACTTCCAGGATAAAACCCAAACTCCTTAGCCTGGTATTTATAGCCCTACATGATATGCTTCCAATCTACCTTTCTGGACTTACCTCTCCTTCCTCCCTTCCCTGAACTTTATAGAGCACAACAGGTAGAGTCAAAAAGTTGTTAAATCATTTCAGTAGTGTCTGACTCTCTGTGACCACATTTGAGTTTTCTTGGCAGAGATACTGGAGTAGTTTGCCATTTCTTTCTCTAGCTCATTTTACGGACAAGGAAACTGAGGCAGACAAGGTTAAGTGACTTGCCCAGGGTCACACACAGCCAGCAAGTGTCTGAGGCTGGATTTGAACTCAGGTCCTCCTGACTCCAGGCTGGGTGCTCTATCCACTGTACCACTTAGCTGCCCACTAGAGTCAGGAAGAGCTGTGTTTAAATCCTGTCTCAGACACTTACTAGTTATGTGACCTTGGGCAAGTCATTTCACCCTCTTTGCCTCAGTTTCCTCATTTGTAAAATGAGCTAGAGAAGGAAATGGCAAACCACTCCAGTATCTTTGCCAAGAAAACCCCAAATGGGGTCACTGAGAGTTGAACAAGATTAAAAACAACTCGGGGCAGCTAGGTGGCTCGGTGGATAGAGCTCCGGCCTTGAAGTCCGAAGGACCTGAGTTCAAATCTGGTCTCAGACACACAACACACAACACGTACTAGCTGTGTGATCCTGGGCACGTCACTTAACCCCAATTGCATAGCAAAAAAAAGCAAAAAAATAAAAAACAAAAAAAGATTGAAAACAACCGATTGACAACAAAAAATGGCTAGGGAGTTTTCTCTGGCTCTCCAACAGCTAGGTAATGCAGTGGAGGGAGTGCTGGGCCTTGAGTCAAAAGACTTGAGTTCAAATCCTGTTTCAACCCTTACTAGTTGTGCCACCCTGGGCAGTATGCTTAACTTCTCTCTGCCTGTTTCCTCATCTGTAAAGTGAGGAGGTTGGTAACAGGAGGAGGTAACAGTCTATGACCTATACTTTCATTATACTTATATACTTACACACATATACTTATACCCATTATACTTATATACATAGCTTATCCCCCCAGAGTAGTATTCTATCTCTCCTAAAAACAAGG